TTATTATGCGGAGAAAAGAAAAATCAGAATTTGGATGACTGAAGTTCGGGGTGCGTTTATTATGCGAGTCATTACGCGAGTAAATATGGTAAGCTTTTATATAAGGTTTAGAATTGTGGAACTGTTAAACACCAAACATCTAGTGGTTAGTGCAGCATAGTTTATCACTTTTGCACCACATAACGCTAATTGATTAAACTTGTTTTAAATATGGAGTTGTTAAATAAGCAGGCAAAGAAAAAGAAAAGGTAACTCCGAATTCCCTATTACATACCAGTCAGAAGGAGAAAGCCATGACCACAGCTGGACATAGACCCGCATAAGACTGAACATCATTATCTAACTTAAACAGATCTGATGTTGGCAGTAATTACGTCGATGCATTAGCACAAATAGAACATGCGTGTGCTTGAAAGCATACATGCAAATTGAAATTTGTCTCCAGTGGTGTGCTGTAGAGTTGAATCGTAAAACTGGTTCATTCAAAGCTCTAGCGCTGCGTGACTGGATGACGCCTGATGCATTGTACTGCGATGCGAGGCGAGTGCCTATATTTCGCCAGTATATCACGAGCCTCCTGGATACTTGAAGCCCAGGTCACCTGAGGCCTGAACTCAAAAGTGTTGCTCTTTCTACATATCATCTAACACACAGCAACCATTTTGTATCTCTGTGGCTGTTCGATGGTTTTGCCAAACATTACAGATAGTGCCTGTAAGCGTGCCGAAACAGTGGGATGGCTCTTGACACTCCAGACGATATCATGTGCATATGGATATTTTCAAAAAATCGAGTCAAACAGAATTTCAAAGACATAGCAGTATGCAGTTATTTGTAGGCTTGTGGAAATAGCAAATTTTAGCTTCAAAGCGAATTAGGAGAGCATTCAAAGCGTGTAATGATTTGGTTGAACAATTGAGTTCGAGCAGTATATATCGTTTATCATAAAGAAGAACGAGCATGTTCGTCATGACCCAATTAACGTGCACTATATTTTCAAAAAATGAAACAAGGCATGAGGAAACGTCGTTCCTTTTGGTTCAAAGGAAGTGCAAGCAACTTTGAATTGTAACAGGATTTCTCTTTCGAAAGAGTGCAACTGATAACCTGTAAAATATGTTATGTTCTAGAATTTAATGTACTTCAGCCATATAGCTGGTATAACAAGCTTTTAAACTTCAAAGATGATGAATCAATGTCAAGGAAATACGTTCATTTAAACCTGAAGTAGAGCTTCGCGGCAGCACGGGTTTCTCCTGGAAAGGTATATTCACGGTGTAGCACCCCTCTACACGTTTAAGTTTGACGCCATTTGAAGAAACAGGCAGCGTGTGACGTGCCTTCTAAGTTCGCGTACACAATTGTGTATGCCATGACTAAAGGGCACAATTTAAGTTCTTTTGAAGGGAAGTCGAATGCTGTAATGTTCATTCGAATATTTGAAGTGCTTGAATATTATTTTACAGTGAAAGCTGTTATGAGATCACAACAAGGGTTGCATGCACTGTAGTTGTCCACTGCCGGTGTCTGTAACCACTATAACAAAACTTGTAAATAGTAAGCACCAAGGACCTAGTGGGATTTGATCCCGGGTCTTCTGGGTGCCAGTCCAGTATTCTACCACTGAACTATGGTGGTGTTTCAAGCTCCAATGCAAACTGGCCTCGCGTCAATCACGTCAATATGAGTAAAACCGTTTCAGAACAGCAAAGGAACAACCAGGCATCACACAATGTGAATTGCATGACGAGTGGGTCATTGAATGCTCCAACCCATTAATGAAATGTTCAGGCATAATTCTTCTTCATCATCAGCCGCAGCATCGGAAAATTGCACAAAGTTTCTTGCAAATGAGTAGTGGGTACCACGCTTGTCCGAAGAATGATGAAGGATTGCATAATAATTGCTTTTCTACTACACAATAACTATAATGGTTTATGGCTTATAGGGGACCCTGCAAGTGTGCTTGTAGCAGTGACTCAGAGTTTAAAAAAGGGCTCTGAAAGGCTGCTCTTCCAGCTTTCAGTGTCACTGTGCTGCGCATTCTGTGCAGACCTGGCGTTTTTTTTTCCTGTTCAATGTCTCTGTGTTTGCATTTACCATGTGCACAACTCGTGCCTGAGATGTTGTGCGACATTTAGAATATTGTTATGAAGAATAAACTATATAAGGAGGATATATTTCGTAACAAAATGCACAATGCTTCCATAGTCTAAGCGCGTTCCGCTGAGCACTTTGTCATGCTATGCCATCATCTACGCCCAGGACATTCCCATTTCAGTTATTCCCATTACGATCTATGCTAGTCGCAGGTGGTGGTGCCACAAAGAAATCGAAATAACAGTGAACATTCAAAATATTTGTTGTCTGGAAAATCGGCTACTACTAGTATTTCAGCTGCCATTATATACTTGGTGTCTCGCATAACTAGAACCAAATAGTATTAAAACAAGTTGTTAACTTCAAATGAATGGAACTAATAACAATGGCTTGCGATTTTGTGGTGCTTGTTACGGTATTACTATATACAGTTAAACCTGGATATAAAGAAATTGATAAACTCTTGGACAAATCTGTTATAAAGAGGATTTCGTTATATGCAGGTTCAGTACGAAAATTTGAAAAATAAACACACAAATTAAACAAAAGGGGGACTGAAGGCAAAGCTAAACCATAACACTTATTTTACAGTAAAAAGCTGCGCTATTATTGCGATACCAATTATATGGACACTCGCAGCGGGTTTCCTTCGTCGCCGCCATGTTCCGTAACAAGTCCAAATTGATAATACATATGCCCCCACGCATCGTAACTTTCACGAGGGGTTTAAAGCGCGCGAACGCTGGTGAAGCAGAGATCAAACGAGTCTGTTCATCCCTATCGCCTGAAAAGTGCATAACATCTTCCGCGTGTTGTTAGAACTGCCATCGAATGCTCATACAGAAAGTAAACCACCTGTCTTGAACTAGCATGAAACAACGTGGGCAGGGGGGGTGGGTGCGGTTTCAACGCGAAGGGACTGTGTGAAAAGAGCACTTCTCCCTGGAGCAGCCGTATGCTCACACAAGTGGTTTTTTTTTGTGTGTAGGAGTTTCGCAATATCAGATCCAAAAGAGTGGGCTGCCAGCCTTGCTTCTTATAACATTACAATTTTTTGCTATCGCGATCACTGCATTGCATTGAACGCGCTGCCGTGCTGCCAGAACTAGTCGGCTAATCGTGAAAGCTACCAGCCTGCGATCTTGCGGTGCGGCGCAAAATGGAAGCGCGTGACGAGTTGACCTCCAAAGATTTGTCGTCACTGTGGTCTCGAAGAGCTTTCGTCAGCACCTAATCTGACATCCCCTCGGTGGTGAGGACACGGTTGTTCGAAATTTAGAAAAGTCAGTTTCGCCACAAGGGCGAAGCAATGAATGCGATAACAACAACTTGGAATGTAACACTTAGAACGGCAAGCAGATCGAAACGTGCAGCGCGCTGCTCACGCACAAATGACGCACTAAAACAACATACACAGGACGACAGCAAGCTAACAACGTTTACCGCTCGACACTTAACGTGCTGTTTAAATAAAAATGAGGCACGAAACGTAATGAGTGCGAACTAACAAGTGCCTCAGTTGTTACTTCGCTGTGTTTAAAAAGCGCATTCTTTTCGCAAACAGCGCCTGTCCAGCGAGCGAAGTGATTTTTATGCACTTAATTGGCAACTGAACGCAATCGTTCCGGTCAAAGTCGAAGGTGCACTATTCTCCCCACTGAAGGATAAGCGCAAATGCATCTACCCCTCCCCCCCCATTCGCGGGACAATGTACGCGTGGGAGATAAGCGCGCATCGGCGCACCGTGACGAGCTGGGCGCCTAGCGCTGGTGGCTTTTTTTCTTCTTGAGTTTTCATATATATATATAGATACTATACATATACGATGAATGACGGCGGCGGCAAAAAGACCAGCCGAGACTGTCTATGGGCACAATTGCTATTACAATAAAAAAGAAAGCATAGTTGAACGTCGTCGGGGGCCACTCCATGCACGCGCGCACGGCGTCGAAAACTAAGAGCGAACGACACGGACACAGACACGGATACCGCGTAAAACTATTCGGTAAAGTGCCCTCCATATGCAGAGCAGCTCCACATATGTGACGCTACCTAAAAGCGTGGCACTGCCAACGCGCAATAGTAGTTTTTTTGGGGGGGGGGGGGGGGGGTAAGGGGGCACACCTGGCGGCAAGAACGGCTGCAACGCAGGCTCGCGGGGTGCAGGCCCACCTGCCCATGTCACGCCGACATGGCCCGCGTGCCCGCCGCCGCCGCTTCGCGCTTGGTCGGTGGCTGGGCAACCGCGGAAGATGCATGCTCGTACTAAAATGACAAAATGCGGAGCGAAATTCTTAGATTTTCCGTGGGGCAAATTCGTTATGCCTAGGTTGTCTCCCGCTGTTGCCTTGTTACATAGAGGTTGCAAATACATGTGCTTCTATGGAGCGACAACGGGAACATGAAAACTTCGTTATATCGAGGAATTTTTTATATGGAGGTTCGTTATAAGCAGGTTTAACTGTAGCACTTGAACTAAGATCAATTTTTCAAATGTTTTAATGTTCAGGTTAGGGCCAAGTGCACTTTGTGATTTTGTAGGGGAAATGCCGAAATTACCGATACAATTCTTTGTGGCAATGTACATGTTGCAAGGCAATTTTTTTTCTGGCATTAAAGAAAGCCTGCGAAGTACGAAACAAACTAAAACACCGAACTGAACTCTTGTACTACCATACTCTAGCACTACCATACTCTAGCACTGTCATTGGAGGTAAACAACCAGTGCATGAACCATGATGAAAGGAATAGCTGCAGTTATTGGCTTCCTAGTGTATCAGCATTTTTGATGCCACGCGACAAAAAAGTGCTGTTGTCCCTGATAAGCGATAAATTTATATTCCGCATGATGGCTGTTTTTGATTGGAGTGAAATCATCCGAGTGTTGTGCCTACTTGCAGGAATTGGAAGCACTCAAGAGAAAATTGGAGGACCAAACACCAGGCAAAGCAGATGATAGGCTCAAGGTCAGTGCCTCAATCCACAGCTTTGCCAACTCTTTGAGAATCAATGACATGGATGTACAGTGTCATGAACAAGTCCTAAATGGTCATTGCAATATATAAGGCAACATCTTTACACTTGGAAAACGCACTACATATATGAACTTTTTCTGCAACTACAAAGCCTCATAACAAAGGCAAAACTGACCTTCCGGAACTAACCTAATTCTCTAGTTCAAGAAATTTCCAGGAAGACGCCTCTAGCAGCAGTGAAATGGGACACGTTAGCCACCTTGTGCTACTGCACTTGGAGCAGTTGGAGGAGGAGAGGAAAAGATGCTATTTCTGCAACCCTAAGTGGGAGCACGTCCTATTTTATGAAATGGATAGGGGAGAGGGAAATGAGAGTGGCATCCATGGCCAAAGATGTGGAGGGCAACTTCTACAATCGTTTTTCAAGTCTAGTGTTTTCGAAGAAATGAAGCACCTCCTTGAAGACCTTGGTCTGGTGAGAGGCAAGGAACTGGAGGTGCCTCTGTGCAGAATGGAATACAAAGTGTGTAGTGCCATCAGGGGAAAGTATAGTGTATGTAAATAATAATAACAAATCTAATGTGCACGTGTTTTTTGTTTTGTTTGCAATTTACTCCTTAAGAGTGCTTCACCAGGTCACATGAGAAATTTTATTCAGGCACTGTAAGTGGAAGTTGTAGAGGCTGGCATGGATCATGTATACTTGAAATGATACTCAAAGTCTCACCGCTGGAGCAGTGGTAAGGGAGGATGCACCAAAAACTCGCCAAGCGTTTTCACGGCCGGCGCAGGCATGACACTGGAATGGCAAGAACATGAATGCAAACAAAATGGAGGCACCTTAGTTTCGCATCTCACTCGATTCGAAATAGGAGAAAAAGAAATAACATCATACACAGATTCTGTTTTTGTTTTTTTCTATTTATACAAACTTCCTGTTCTGTTCAAACAACAGATTGCACAAATTGCACATGTTGCCTTGAATAATTCTTGCAGTGTATGCAGGACTATTCCTTGTAGTGCGTCACCTCCTGCATGTTAGGGCACATGCCCATTAGATGAAAGGAAAGTGGCGTTCATTTTAAAATTTCACCTCATTCTGGAACTCGTCGTGTTGAAAATCTTGGCAGATAGGATCATGAGGGTCCAGTGCATACATTTTGCTTGCCAGCTCGAAATTCTCAAACCTGGTGAGGGGTTCTTTAAGGTGTGCACAGAGAGGGAGAAATTGACCTTACGCTATTAAACCCGGCCAATACAAGGCTATAAGAGCCATCTGGCCTTTCTGGCTATTCGCTCCTGTGCTGTCCTTCTCAGCCATGCCAAGAAGAGAGAGAACCAGGAACCTGTTTATTTCACAATGGCCGCTTGACTCTCCACACTGGACAATAAAAGGAGAGACCGTGTTCCACAAACCATGCAGGAAAAAGGACATGGCTATGTTAAACTGTTGGCACCTTTGTGCCATCGTAAAGTATAACATTTTTTTTTTGTTTTCATGTTGTAGACACAAGTTGTGCATGCCTTTCTTTGAAAGTTTGAATTTTTGTGAAAATTTATATGGGCATTTAAAGCACGCTTCTTCATAACCTATACAAAACTATCATCACCTAGTGTTCATCTTCATCGTTAGTAGATATGGCTCTTGAGTTGGTTCTGTGCCTTGGAGGTGACTGTTTTGGCCACATCTTCCAGGCCTAATAAAGGCGTGTAAAGGACTTCGTCGCAAGTGGTTGAGGTTGCTCCTCGATTCCCCGTTCCTGCTCGCCCGCTTTACCTCCTGGAGCTTCGCTCAGGTCGCCGTTTGGGCTACGTGTCCACCAGCATGCCGCAGGACGAACCCTGGGGCGCTTCTCCCTTTACCCCTCCGGCTACGACTGCTGCAGCTACTCACTCTTGGATCGTCAGCGGACCCACTCGCGAGCCCCCTCTATTCGCTGGACTCCGAAACGAGGACATGGACGACTGGCTACACCAATATGACATCGTGAGTGCAGCTAACCGTTGGGACGATCCGTAGAAGCTCAGCCACATCTCCTTCTATGTTACTGGTGTGGCGACGACCTGGTTTTTTAACCACCAGGTCGACTTTCCCAACTGGAACGTCTTCAAAGAAAACCTGCGACAAGTCTTCGCTACTCCGGCAGTTCGAGCCAGTCTGGCGAAAAGAACACTTGATGGTCGCAAACAACAGCTAGGCGAGTCTTATGCCTCGTATATCGAGGATGTTCTCTCTCTCTGTCGACGCGTCAACGACTCCATGACCGAGACAAAGTGCGCCATCTGCTCAAAGGAATAGGGCCTGTCGCCTTCAATGCTTTGGTCGTAAAGGACCCAAGTACCGTTGCCGACATTGTAGCTATGTGCCAGCGCCTGGACGAGCTTGAATCCGCACGGCTGCAGCTGGACAACTCTCCTGCAGCCATGCCTGACAATCTCACTTGCGACGAAGTCCTTTACACGCCCTTATTAGGCCTGGAAGATTTGGCCAAAACAGTCACCTCCGAGGCATAGAACCGACTCAAAAGCCATATCCACAAACGATGAAGATGAAGAACACTTGGTGATGATGGTTTTGTACAGGTGATGAAGAAGCGTGCTTTAAATGCTCACAATGTTGTTTATGTGTATTTACGACTTTAGGGAGCCTAAAAGTGTTTTGCCTGCCTATTCTCGGCTCCTAAAATGCAATTTTCAGAGCATAAAAATCCGGCCTCTAGTTGTATTACACTAGTCCATGCATACGGGCTTGACCATTCTATGGATCCCTCAACTCTCGCAACAGAATGGCACACTGTCTTTGGCTCATCCACAAGAGCCCTACGAGTTGAAAACTTAACGCGTGGCTTGCACAGACTCGCGGCTGCAGTGGATTTCAGTCCAGTGCAAATGGAGACGAGTGCGTTAGTTGGCATTGTTGATATCAGTATGCCACCGCAAGCAACAAGTGAATAGATAGCAAGCACATGTTGAAAGATGTAGAGAGCGATCATTTCTCAACTCAACCTGCATGGCTTCGCGCTCTCTGGCCTTGCGACAGTGTATTGAACTAAATGGTGGAGGTGAACACAAGCGAGACTAAAGATGGGAGAGCATCCAATAAACATTGTGACCATTCCAGACCTGGAAAGAAGCACCTGGCCATAATAGGGGAAAGAGGGAATGGTGCGTTCTAGCTTCAGCATGGGAAGGTGTGAAAAGCAGTTAAAACAGAGAAAATCTCTTTCAAATGCAAACCCTCCTGCCGCTGTGTATTCCCCGTGAGCGAGGATGCCAATGCTTTGAAGATGCTAGGATGTGCACGCAATCCCATAAGTTGCTCCACTCTTGGAGAGGGTCATCTTGATGATTGGATACTAGAGCCGCAAAATCAGAAGAGTGAGATGTTATTTTATAACTGTTAAATTTAGTGGGAGTGATAGTTAAGGTCAGTGATTAATGTATACCAAAATTAATAAGGGCCCCAAAATCAAACCTGCTCAACAATAGCTTGATTATTGTAGCTGACCAACACTGGCAGCTACGATGTATGATGGGCATGATGATTGTTTAGTCATATTGAGACTTGGTGGCGTTCAACATATGCAGGCTCTGCTGTCTGAGAATGAGGCGCTGAAGAGCGCTGCGCAGCGTCTCCAGGATCAGCTGTGTGCTGCCCAGGGACGGCAGGCTGCCTGGGAACAGCTGGCGCAACGCATCGCCCACCGCCTGCACGACTTGCGTGACCTGCAGCACGAGCTGGCTGCGTTACTATCTGCCTCTTGACCCTACCCGGTGTCACACCCCACCTGACAGGCATGACGATAGGCCCCCCTACCACCACTCGCGAGCCAACAGCATGCTAACCAGAAGAGTGGCCTGATGAGCTCCCTGTTGTGCGTGAATCGTGGGCTTGACTCCTGCAAATTGTGTTCGAAGAAAACAGCACCGTAGCAGAAACAAATTGTATACACCTGGACATGGTCTCAGTCTAGGATGATGTCACATGCTCTTTGTCCACGTAAACCATTCATTGCTCATTAAACTGTCAGTGTCAAACCTGAGAACTCAGCGGGATGTGGCTCTAGGCAGCAGGATTGATCGAGCTTCCGCAGTGGTATAGCAAGGTTTGTTTTGCCAAGTTTTAAAAGTAGTCGAGCAATATGGCAAAGCTGTGCAAGTTCTTTTGTGACTGAGCCTGGAAACAAGCTCTTCCAGGATTTCACGTTAAAGAACTTTTGAAATAGCTAGGTATTTTCTTCAGATAAGGTGAAAGCCTTCCTATATGGATTGTCGTGAATCAATTCTTTCTTTGGTGTCTACGTGACACCAATGTGCCACACCATGTAGTATTTGTTGAGCCCTCAATGCACTGCCCTACGGTAAGAAAAGAATTGCCATATAATCTCAACCCTTGGAGCCAATGTAATTCTCACTTAAACAGAATCTCTGCCAACATTGATGACTTGCAAGATAACTATCACATGTTACCTGAAGAATCTCTTTTTTAGTTTGCATCACACTGGCTTGCTGATGCATTCGCATGTCCTACAGGTACGCATATTTTGAAATCATTTCAGCTTCAACCTCATTCCTGTATTGACGGGTAACATACATACCACTGTCAAGTGTGTACAGTAACTTACAAAAATAAAAGATTATCAATTTGTGCAAAAGTAAATATGTTCATGTACCATCCCTTGTTGAACAATGTGTGAATGCTCAACATTTTCAAGTTTGTTTCACATTGTGGCTTTGTTATAATGTTTTTAACATTGCTTGCTCCAGCTCTGAATGAAATGTTACGCATTGGATATCGCGGAGAATGCTGCATGGTTTACCACTTGTGATATTGAGACAGCTTCAATGCATTTACATTGAAAATTCAGCATATCCTTGACAAATTTATTTTTCGTCCTCTGTGCACCGTTGAAAACGGAGAATGAGTTTTTGCTCTGAGGTACTGCCAGAGCCCAGCCCCTTGTGATACTAACAGAAAAAGATGTTAAGGCTAAATTGCATACAACAATGAGCCGTAACAGTCTTGGAAGATGAAATACGTTGCCTCTAACTTGCTGAAAAAAGTTCAATAGCCCAATGGAAGCAAAGGAGAAATTAGAACTGATAGATTATCTTTAACATGCATAAAAATGTTTGCAGATATAACTATAGTGGCATAAGGCCCCGCTCAGATGACTGAAGGAAGGCGGCTCTGTGACTAAAGAAACAGTCCCGCTCGTGTTCCCAGTCATGTCATCCCAAGGCACATTCGTTGCCTCACGAGTGTTGAGCTTGTGCCCATTGGTGCAGGCTTTTATTTATCCAGCTACTAAAGTTATACTCAATTGTTGCAGTGTACCATTTATTCAGAGCTACATGCATTGCATAGTGGCAACACAGCCTTTTTCCATAAAATTATCCAAGTGCTCTCAATACAGAGAGATGTTTTATTGAAAAGCTGAGATTTTGGCCTGGGTCACTTTGGGCCTGCAACTTCACACCGTGGATGAAAAGCAGCTACGAATCATGACAAGGCAAGGAGGTGCATATATGCAAGTTCATCACGTTGGGGCAACACAAAAGTAACAACTTTGCTCCCATGGTGTGACCCCACAACCACAACTGCGCCTAAAGCAGACTCGTTAGATAACAACCGCTTGTCAAAGCGTACATTAGAAGAAATCTGCTTTTGCTATTCTCATTCCTATGTCTACTCTGGGCGCGTGCAGAACACATGCTCAAGTGTTCTGGAACTTGCGATTGACCCCGGTGATTATAATTGGGAGTGGTATCGTTATGACTTATACATTTGTATAATGCCCCATGAATGTGACACTAATGTGTATCTGGTGAATCACACTTGTGTCCCCTTCACACTTGTGTCACCTTCAGGTTGTAAGACAAGTGGAACCTTGCAGTCCTGTGGTTCAGTCCAATGTGGAGTTCTGCATTATGTGCTGAAGCAGGCAATTAGTGTTTTTTTTTATGTGTGTGCATGTGAAAATGCAGTTCTAACCTGAGGGGAATTGCTGTAATGCAATTTTAGCTATAGTATCTGCATGTTCATTCCCTGTCATGTTGCACTGTCCATGCAACAACTGAAAGGTGACCTGGTGTTTTTTTTTTCGACACTGTGGAGGACCTTTGCAATTTCAAAAACTAAAATATAATGCGGGCATTGTCTCGCGACATTAATTGGCTTGAAGAGAGTCGCAAGGCCAATGAAGACAGCGTCTGCTAGTACAAAACCGAATGCTCACTTTGCACAACCGTTCACTGGCCGTTGAATTGCGTGTTCGAAATTCAATCAAAGGTGTCTTTACCATCTTTATTTTGGCCTTCGCTTGATGAAAGCAACGCCTACTCTAGAAAGATGCCTGCGTCTTGAGCCAAAAAGCCTGTTCTCTCCTCCTCTGCAGCCCAAACGATGGATGAATGGATGGATTGATCTGGCTGTACCCTTTAGATCGGGCAGTGGCTAACGTCACCTAGCCGTAATAAAAGAACTAACAACTAAATTTATCTTTTTTTTTCTTTAAATAGTGAAGTTGAGGACTGGTACTTTGCAGTGAATGGTTTAATTTTCATTCGTGCCTTGATTTTAGCCACCAATCAGATAACCTCCTTCTAGTTATTTCCACCCGCCTAAAGTCCATTTTGCTCTTGCTGTACCTAAACTCCAGTGTTTTGAAAAACTCTGTGGCATCATCCTGAACTATAGGGTGAAGCCCTTCATAAGAACATTATCAGGTGTTCCGCAGTTTCCTCCTCCTCTCCACACGCACTGCATACCGTGTCTAGCCCTTCGTATTTGGCCCGATAAGTCTTGGTTCGCAATACTCCCGTCCTGGCCTCAAACAGTAGAGAACGACCAAGAGTATTATCAGAGATCCTTTCCTTGGTTATTTCCTGCTTAAAAGTTCGATAAATCTCTAGTGCAGACTTCTTAATCATGTCGATTCTCCACATGTCAGTCTCCGTTTCCTTCACTTTCTTCTTAACCAATAAGTTTTTGGTTTGGCCACCTGCTATTTTCTAAGTATTTACCAGTCAATTTCCTGGTTCGCTTCCTCCATTTTGTATCAACATTCTTCATGTACAAGTAGCTGAAAACCTTCCTAGCCCAACGCTCTTCCCCCATTTCTCTCAATCGCTTCTCAAATTTTATCTTGCTGCTAGTTTCCCTGCCCTCAAATGATGTCCATCCCATATCACCTTGTACTCCTGTGAGCTCCTAAAGCAAGCCTACCTAATCCACATTGCTCAATTTCTAATCTTGCTTGGACTTCTGATCTCATGCACAAGACCGCATTGCCGAACGTAAGACAAGGAACCGTGACCCCTTTCCGAATTCCTATCACAATGTCATACCTATTGAAAATCAACAATGCCCTATTTTTCATCAACGCTGCATTCCTGTTACCTTTAGTCGTTACGTATATTTCGTGTTACCTTGGGTACTTGGTCCCATTTGCTTATCCATTCACCCAGATATTTGTATTTATCTGTTCCCTCTAGCGTGACCTCCTGTATCCTAAGCTCACTACCTTCATTATCATTAAAAAACATGACTGCTGATTTTTCCTAGCTGAATCTGAAATCTAACATATCTCCCCGATTACCACACATGTCCATCAATCTCTGCAGATCTCCCTTGTTGTCACCCATTAGCACTACATCATCGGCGTACATCAATGCTTGTATTGCCTGTTCAATGAGTTTTCCTTGTCTGATGAAAAAGAGGGTGGAGCCAAGTCCACTCTCCTCTTTAGCCTCTAATCCTTGTAATTTAGCCTCTAATCCTTGTAGGTACACAATGAATAACAAGGGTGACAGAGGACACCTCTGCCTAAGTGCCCGTTTTATCTGTGTGGGCTTGGATACTTGCTTTTCCCATTTTATAACTACTGTTGGCTGCGAGCACTCCTCTCGAAGGAAGCACTGAACTACGAGGGACCTCCCGTCTTCATAGGAAAGCGTGATGTCACAGCAATATTTCTTGAGGAGGCGGTGAAAGCCAAGGCACCCTTGAATGAGTGCAAAAGTAAATATGTCTTTACTTGACTTTGGCTTCATGAAATCCAAATAAAGGCACCCTTGATTGAATTGTGGACGGGTGGCCAGTGAACGGTTGTGCAGCACGAGCAGTCTGTTCTTTACTAGCAGACGCTGCCTGCGTCGGCCTTGCAAGGCGAGGGCAACAGTTTTGTGGTTGTCTCTCTGGGCCGGCATGACAGGTTTTCAAATACAGTAGTGTTAAATCTAAAAGGCCCACTTTACACAAATTGGAGTTCAAAACACCGTGCAAATATTTTTTATAAAATATATTTCACAGACATCAATCAGGGTGAATTTCAAGAAGCAAACAGTTAAAAAGATGGCTTGTTGTCAAAAGTTCAATGAGCGGTAAAATAAAATCGTAGCCAATCATGCTACACACCCCTCCGCATAGGTCTAGTGGCTAAGGTGCTCAGCTGCCGACCCCCAGGTCGCGGGATCGTATCCTGAATGCGGCGGCTGCATGTCCGATAGAGGTGAGAATGCTGTAGGCCTGTGTCCTCAGATTTGGGTGCACGTTAAAAAACCCCAAGTGGCCGAAATTTCTGGAGCCGTCCACTACGGCGTCTTTCATAATCATATCGCGGTTTTGGGAGTTAAACCCCACATATCAATCAATCAATCATGCTGCACGCCTAGTAACATACTGGCATGGCATTATAGATTCTGAAAAAAAATCTAGCTTCACAAGCATAAAAAAAAAGAAAAAAAAGACTGATATATTTAGAATAAACTGCAGCCTACTCTACGGGTTGCTGCTGCAGCGCATGGGTAAAAGGCCAGAACTGCCCGTAGTCTGCTTCGTCATCTTTTTCAGACAGATTCGGGAAAGCTGTTACGAGATCACAACACGGGTCATCTGCAGCGCCGTAGTTGTTCGTAACCACTTTTGCACAAGAGAACCCCCCCCCCCCCCAAAAAAAAAAACACAGTGGGATTTCGGGCCCGGGTCCCTTGCGTGCCAGCCCAGTATTCTACCACTGAGCTATGCCGGTGTTTCAAACTCCCGCCGTTAGCAGGTTTGATGTTGGGAATGGAATTGCGTAACGAGTGGGTCATGCAATACTCCAACCCATTACAAAAGCTTGTTGATCACCATTTAACTGTGGCAAATACCCACTTAAGGCTTAAATTTCATTGTGGTCAGCTACTGCACAAAAAATTAGCACAAAATTCCTTGCAAGTGTGTATCGGATACCACACTACTCCGAAGAATGACTAAGGATTGCACAGTGAATGCCGGCCTTACACACAATTATTTATGGCATAATGAGTACTCAGCAAGTGTGCTTGTAGCAGTAACCTAAAGTGTGTTCAGAAAATGCTCCGAAAGGCCGCTGCTGCGCGTTCTGCGCAGGCCTGTTTTTTTTTTAAACAAGGAACGATCAAAAACTTAAAAATTCTCTCCGTGTCATTTCAGAGAAATTGCGGTTTGGAGAGGTGCATGGAGCAGCATTTCTCTTTTCGAGTAGGACTTCCTTCAGTGGCCTTGAGTGCACAAAAATCAGGATTAGCTGTGGTGAAAATGGTGCCTATGAAGAGTTTTTTTTTTTTTTTTTTTTTAAATCTGTTAGCTTCAAAATGCTTACACAAGTAAGCTATAGCTTTACTGAAAAAAGTAATGCCTCACCGAAGACACTGATAGGCACCATAAGACTTGCATAGAAAGTATATGTCAAGTAAACATCTATACCTTTAGTGTGGCATTGACGAAAGAAAACAGTGAATAGCCATTCATTTTATAAAATACTGCTGAAGATGGAGCTTTCAGATCAACTTTAGATGGGCGTATCTCATTTCCCTCATATACCTTTAGTGTGGCATTGACGAAAGAAAACAGTGAATAGCCATTCATTTTATAAAATACTACTAAAGACAGAGCTTTCAGATCAACTTTAGATGGGTGTATCTCATTTCCCTCAAAGTTTCAAGAGGCTAAAATGGACAGTATGCATGAAGGAAATGGTGGAGTACCTTGCAACTCGTTCCACTTAGTGTGCGAGCAGAATGAGAAGATTCTCTCAATTTCTTTTGAAATTCAGTTCTGGCAACATTCAGTGCTTAATTAGCAACTTATATAATTTAGGCACCAAGTGCTCTGGCTTTGGAATTCGCACACCACTGGTAAGTTTTTGTCCTCTTTGGTCAGCACAAAAGCACTTGGTGAAAGTAAGTGCAAGAAGACAGCCACAGAAACAGGTGCGTGGTGAAGAACCTGGTAGCAGCTCCAAAATATAAAAGCAAATCTGTGCGATATGAAAAAACATAATTGTAGGGAAAAATTTTTTTATTGCAACTGCACATGTTTTTAGAAACTTTTTTTGTACCTGTACAAAGTTAGTGCCACCTGCCAAAGTACCAACTGAAAAATCACAGTACAAAAGAGGGCAGCCAGCCACAACTGATGCATGCCATCAAAAAGATGTTAACAAATGGTTTGCATGCAAACAGCTCTAATCATTAGATGTCATCAAATGCATGCAGACATGCCACGAACTGAACATTGATGGTATCTGCCTGCACTGCACAACAGTACTGTGCTAAGGGAACAGAAAAAGGCAGCATAAAAATGTTTGTGTAGAAGTTCCCTAGGCTCTTTTACCACCCTGTGAGAACAAAATGTTAACGAGATAGCCAGTGAGGTGGCAAATTATGTTTGGCAAGTTTTTTTTTTCCCCCTCCATCTCCTACGCTCTGGAACTGTGGCCTAGCGCTTGGCGCTTTTCGCCGTATTTCACTGCAGCAATGCCGCATTTTGGTCTTTTCTTTTTACATCATTTTCAAGAAGGAGTGCTTCAAGTGTCACACTTCCTACTATTTTTTTTTCCACTCTGCAAGATGGTTCCCATTGTTGCTTCCTTTTGCATGTGGATGTTCACAAAACATGTGCGTGTCGTCAGATGTTATCGTGACAAAGGACAACTCGTTGCGACGACAAGAAATAAATGCCAAAAAGGGGTGGTGGTGACTGCCAGAACAGATGAAATTGGTAAAAAAAATCAAGTCCCAGGCAGAAAAGGGGTGGGAAAGGCAAAAGGGACCCAGCCGCCTGGGGGCTGCTGCACGGGAAGAAACACGCACGTCCAACATGTACTCATTTCACATACACACACAAAAAAGCCTTGCAATTTTTTTTGTTTCATTTAGCCTGTCCCTTGCACCTGGCCTGGTTTGTCCAATAATTTTTACACACTGATGCATTAACAGCTTTGCAAAAACAGAGCCAAACAAAAGGAAAGTGCTTTTGTTCCAGCACAGAAAGCAAGAGCAGCAAAACCAGCAGCCCTCTTCTCCACCTTTTAAAGTACACTTGGGTGTAGAAAGCCTCCTCTTGCCAGCCCCACCTGGCTATGACATCGTTAAAGCTTTGGTAGCCAACTAAGCACACACACGCACACACACTCAAACGTGAAAAGAGGTTTTCTGGTCGAAGGGCGTGTTTTCTCTCCCATCTCCGTGCTGCCGACGCTCCGAGCGGTGGGGCATCCCCTCGTCGCAGGTTGGTGGTGGTTAGGGAGGGGAACGTGCACCTTGGGAAAAACAGAGCGGCTGTCCAGGCTGCATTACAGCCTTCAGGCAGAGACAGTGCCCTCAACAGCTGCCCCTGAAGAGGACGACGACTCGAGGCTCCCTGAAGGGGCCGCTGCACCATTGCTGGTGGCCTCACTTCCTCCGCCACTGGCTGCCTGCAGAGCCCGCACAACCAAACACGACCGTCAGAGCAAGTGCAGAAATGCTACTAGCCGATACTTGGCGACAACATTCTGAGGCAGCACGGCCAAAGCTACATGGGCAGAGCTTTGAAACGTGTTATTTTGCCAAGTAGTTCGTTTAGGGTCAAATTTTGGTTGTGCAAGCGTGTCCAATATGTACATTTTCCCAAGAACATCCAAATCATATTTTTGTAATAAGAGTTATCAAAGAGGTTATGCATTACTCTAAACAAAAGCTTCGACAAGCTTTGATACACTTACAAATGCAATGAAGCAACGAAGAAAAAAAATATGTGGAATCGTTACTAAGCTGTTCTGCAAATTCCTATAACATCAATCTGCCGGCAGTTCAAAGCTGTGTGTAAAGCGAGCACCACACATCAAAATTTGCATGTTTTTTATGGTTTTCTTTGGAAAGCAATAAGTTTCATTGCCTACAGGGTTGGCATTGTGGTTTTCCTTCTTTTGGAGACTCGAGATCTTTCTGGAGATGCTCATGTTATTTTGTTCGGGGACATGACAGCATCGACAAGTTGAGGAATCTAGGACACAACTGGTATGAACAGATTTCTCATGGTCGTAAATCCAAGCGGCCAAAATGCACCTTTTACTCTTAGCACAATCAATCACATGATATACAGAGCGTCTGCTGGCCAGGCAAAGCTTTGCACTGGTAATTTTGTGCTCGTAAATCGCCACCATCGAAAAGCACCAAGAACTACTCTCGCTGTAGACACCTACAGTACGGTGTTACAGAATGCTATCTTTAATGTGATTGTATCGGAAATAGTAAGCAACGAAAATACCAGCCATGCATGCAATACAAGTTATAAAAAGGGTCATTACTTTTACTTTGCTAGTTCTTAATTGCCACACTGCTTTTAAGCAGCTGCTCTTGCTGAAGACCAGTAGGCTGTTTGGTCTCACAAAGTGGCATCGCGATAAGAGCTGTGATAGCACTTCACACAACTTATCACGTGATTGCATGTGCGGGGAACAAAATATTTGACGACACACCGCTGTCTTATTTCTTTTGTTTTGAAAAATACAGATCACATAAAAATACGCACTCATGCTTGTTCACAAGATTCGATGTGAACTTGTTGCAAGTGAGCAACACCATTGCTGATAACCGGGGCAGGAAAACGTGTCAATTTGACACCACAAAATCAGACAAGGGGAAAAGGAAATGACAGCATATCCACAGGGTGAATGATGGAGAGCAGGGCGAAGCTGGGTTCGCACGCCGCTACCGCACCGCTCTGGCTTCCTGTTCTCGCATGCCGGGATCTTGGCGCCGCCGCGCAGCTTCATGGCACGCTTCTGCTTCGCACGCAAGCCCCTCTGCAGCCCTGTCTATCCGCTGACCTTCTGAATGTGGGTGCGCCAAAACGGCTTTTATTTTACTACACTGCGCCCTAACGTACAGCGCCGCTGCCGAACACGCAATCTTTGTCTTCGTGCAACGTCATTCCCATTTTTTTGTGCGCTCACACATCGGGGTTCCATCTTTGAGCGCTAGCTGTCGCCACCTTGTGCGTATCGTACTTTTTATCGGCAAACCGTGAATCATTTGTTGGCCGTGTCAGTACGTCGTCTGTCTGACGCACGAACGGACAGACGCATGAACGAACGCAGGGACGGCCGACCGGACACATGCACGAATGCAGGGACGTACGGACGCTTCGTCTTACTCATCATCATTCACTCCATAGTGCTGTGATCTTTATTATTTATCGTACTACAAGTAAAATCCTCTAGAATCATACCACTTCTTTTTTTTGCCTATATGCTTTTCATTATATCTACAAGTGCCGCCCTCTACGGCCTGATCAAAAACTAACGAGAGGTGGCTATATACTATTACTACACGGGATGGATGCTCGCTCAGCCCACGAATTTAAACGGCCTGCAAACCGCCCAGAGGTCGAAATTCGGTTGTGGGAAAATTGTGCACGAGTGTATGACAAAGACGGAGCCGTGAGTGCAGTAATAGCGGAGTTAGATGCGCTTGATTATCAAAACCGTGAAAACCACACCTTTCGGTCTTTCATGTGCTTCCTTCTGCTGGTATCCTCTATCATGCCCCTTTTCCCTCTCACTGACGCGCTGCTCGAAACACTATTTCCAGTCGCTGCGACTCCGACCGTCCATTCCGTCAGTTGCGTGCTTGTTGGCAAACCGTGCCTGTAGTAATTGTGCCGGTATGGAACCTGTGTTGCGCACATGCCTTCAAAGGACTGCCATCGCGATAGATCCGTACGGGGACACACCGGGCCCCGCACGGGTTACACGCACACGGGCAACTCAAAGAACAACAACAAGCAGCGCGGGCAGCTGCTTGCAGACTGGCCGGGAGTCGTAGGCTCTTGTTCGACCAGTCGCAGCATATTTGGCATATTTGACTCGGTGGGTCACACGGAGGCCCGAAATGTTTTCCTTTATGCTAAGTAGTACAGAAAAGAAAGCTAGCGTTTGTGCGCTACATGCAGAAGCATGTGCGTCCGCTTTGTAGGTTTGGTTGATTGGTATGTGGGGTTTAACGTCCCAAAACCATTGTATGATTATGAGAGATGCCGTAATGGAGGGCTCCGAAAATTTCGACCACCTGGGGTTCTTTAACGTGAAGCCACATCTGAGCACACGGGCCTACAACATTTCCGCTTCCATCGAAAATGGAGCCGCTGCAGCCGGGATTCGATCCCGCGACCTGCGGGTCAGCAGCAGAGTACCTTAGCCACTAGACCACTGCGGCGGGGCATTCGTAGGTTTGGTTGTGCTGCCATAGAAAGTTGTGGAGAGGTACAGTCGACGCCCGCAATTCCCGGCATGCCCGATTTCCCGAACTCATCTGTGGCACAGTCAAGTTCCCCATAAAGTGAATGTATTAATGAGTCTGAAATTCCGGACGCTTATACAGTAGACACTCAGTAAACGGAAATCTTAAGGGGAGACAGGGGTTGTGAAGACCGAAAAATCGTGAAAAAACTTCTTTTTTATTGCATTTTTGAAATCTACAGCTACTAGTGCACTTATATCGCGAATTTCATGCTTATAATATTATTTTAGCTGCTAAGACCCTTTATACCGTGCTTTCTAGCTATATCCGAGCCGAAATCCACGTTGAAATCGCACATTTTCAGTGACGCGCCCCTGCCCTTTCATGTGTGCCAGTGCAGCCCGCTTTGTCTTATTTGAGTAAGCTGTCTTTCGCCTTCAAATTCCCGCCAGAATGGGTCCAATTCAACCATTGGCCGCTGGTAAAATGAGAGGCATAAAGAAATAGCAGAAAGCTTTCCTATTGGTGGAGGCTCCTGGCTTCGTCTGCTCCGGGTATTGAGGACGCGCGCCATTTTGCCTCAGTGTCAGCGGGGAAGTTTCACGATGTCAAATCCTGAGCGCAACTTTCGCACGCGGCACAAGTTTGGTGCGAAAAAGGTGCAAAGGACGCTAGTAGCGAATTTCAAGAAGTGCTCCGTGATACAGCAAAACCCCTGAGACGCTACACTCTCCGCGTCCCATGGCGAAGTCGTCGGCGCTACCACGGAAGGCCTAGCTACCGCATCAGTTGTCACGGAGCCTGTGCAAAGTCGAGCAGCGGTAATATGCGTCTAGATACTATCTATCGGCAGCAATTTGACTTGAAAGAGGAGCGAGCTAAAGCCGAAGATAAGTTATCGGAGCTGTCGTCCGCTGCAGCGATGGAGCGGTAACGCGCATTCGTGGTTGACGGTGCCGACGAAGCAGCTTGGCCTGGCCGCCAGATGGAACCACGTTCACAATTATAGATTTGGACACAGTGAACAGCGCTTTGTTGGCATTTGCAAAGTGCAAGGCATGCAACGGAGAACTGCAGATTGTCCGCGACGACCGGGAATTCGGACTCGCCGTGAAGTTGTGTTTTGTGTGTTCGACCTGTGGGGAGACTGCGTCGTTGTGGAGCTCGCCGCGCGTATGTAGCAATGAGCGCATGAAACCTTTTGCTGTGAACGTTTTGGCCGCGCATGCCATGCAGGCAACGGGGAACAAACAGACCGCGCTGAATGATGTGTTCTCGTTGATGGGCATCAGCCGTCGGGGTCTTCACACAAAAACCTGGCAACACCTCGCGACGACAAAGTAGGCACCCGCGGTCGATCGTGCTGCACGCAATTTGACGAGCGGCTACGCGTGGTCGGGTCGCGAACTTTATGCCGAACTTAATACAGGCCACATGGGAAACATCGCGGTGTCGTTTGACGGGTCATGGATGACTCGCGGGCATTCGACGCATATCAGTCTCAACACCGTCATAGAATTGTTCAGCGGGCTGGTGCTTGACTTCGTTGTCCTGAGCAACTTCTGTGCTGGATGCGAGTCGGGCCTAAGGGAGGTGACCCTTCTTATGCAGCGTGGAAGGAAGATCACCAGTGTCAGAAAAACAGTGACAAGAAGGCTGGGGAAATGGAGGTTGAGGCTGCCTTCACCCTCTTCAGGAGGTCACTTGAGCAACACAACCTGCGCTACACCACAGTGCTTTGCGACGGGGACAGCCGCAGTTACCTTGTGCTACAAGAAGATAAGGTTTATGGGTATATCCCAGTGGAAAATGAGGGCTGCATTAATCATGTCCAAAAGCGTATGGGCACTGCTTTGCGCAACTTGATTGCAAAACACAAAGGCCCTGGCCTTGAGAGTCTTGGGGGAAAGAGCCACTTGACAGGAGACCTCATCTCCAAGCTCACCAATTATTATGGGTGGGCTCTGAAGACACACAGTGGTGATGTTGATGTTATGCACACAGCACTGATGGCCACTTATCATCACATCACATCCAACGATGTGGCAAACCACACTCTGTGCCCACCTGGTCCAAATTCCTGGTGCAAACAAAATGCGGCAAAAGCCAAGGGGAGCCCATTCCCAAACAAAGTTGATGCTATGCACACAAAAGTGATGGCCACTTATCATCACATCACGTCCACTGATGATGTGGCAAACCACACTCTGTGCCCACCTGGTCCAAATTCCTGGTGCAAACAAAAATGCGGCAAAGGCCAAGGGGGAGCCAATTTCCAAACAATGCCGAAAGCTGCCCCCACAGGTCTGCCAAGCCTTACTTCCCATTTATGAGCGCTTGTCAGACAGAAAGCTGTGGCAACGATGCCAGCGAGGGAAAACCCAAAATAACAACGAATGCCTGCATTCAATGATCTGGGCGCTGGCACCAAAGGAGCGACATGCTTCGCTATTCACGGTGGAGGCAGCTGTGGCAAAAGCACTGCTCAAGTTCAATGCCGGCAATAAAAAGGCATCAGAAGACATTATGAAAGAGCTGAGCCGGAACCCCAGCTGGCAAAGCCTCAGCTGCACGGCTGAAAAGGATCGACGGCGCACGGCAGCATCAGTCAAGAAGCGACAAGCAACCAGTCCCTGAAAAAGCGCCACACAGGGACTCATAGTCAAACGGACTACGTGCCCAGTGTATACTGAGCATTTTCCAGTGAAGTTATGTAAATGAATGAGCTTTATTTCTTTTTCTCAGTTTGTCGGGTTGATATCTTGAAATCTAGAACAGCCGGCACAATAATTTTTTCATTAACGTAAAGCCCAATCTGTGTATTACAAAGTGCTGAGAGCAGAATTTCCATTTGCTGCCCATATAAATTTAGAAGGCATTAAATTTCTTTGTAACTGATAGCCATGACATGACTCCAACTTTTATCATCTGCAGAATTACTAGTTTTTCTTTAACTTGAAATCTGCTTGCAGCATTGCACTTATTGCTAATTTCACTGTCTAGCTATGCAATAATATTTACTTTTTGATAAGCACTTTCTTTTCTATTGTCTCCAAAAACAATAGAGTGGTAGCATTGTGTATCTTCTTAATTATTTGACCTACAACGAAAATTTTTGCATATTTGAAATGAGCAGGAGAAACTACATAAGCATGTATATTTTCATCATGTTTGGTCCTTAAATACAGAAAATATCTCCACATACCATGTCCCCCTTTAAACGGAACTACTGCTTTAACAGAACTACTGCCTCTGCAATGCTTGGTTTCAGGTTTGCATTTAACACCCATGTTCACCTCTCAGTAAACGGAACTCCTGTTAAATGGAACATATTTTTCCGATCCCTTCAGGTTCCATTTACTGAGAGTCTACTGTAGCCTTCGGACTCCAATTTCCTGGACTTTTTACTGTTAACCACTGACCCAAAGTCGCCGCCGCCATCGTGGCTGCCGTAACCTCAAAACCACACGTGTCAATCCGTTACCAGCTGTAGCTTAGCGGCTTAGCCAAGCCAAACCACAACATAGACCTCACTGTGTTCGTTCACACGTTTTGTCAGCTCTGCAGTGGTGTCTGCAGTTGATCGTTTGCTGCTGCGCGCTATCTTCAGTGATCACGTTTCCCGACCTTCAGCATCCACCGAGTTAGCCGTTTACTGCTGCACTTTTTGTTGAGCGGACTTTTCATTTACAGCGATGGCACCGACTGCTCCTTCGTCTTCGTCCGTGCCTTCGAAGCGCACATAGCCCCCTTGTAGGCTAATGATGGGAAAAGCTACGCTGTTGACCTCAGGTTTGCCGTCAGCATGCTAGCGTAATCGTGGAAGGCGATTACGCAAGAAACCATGCGGAACTGTTTTTGCCACATGGGCTTCACACTTGACGCCGAGACGGCCGTCTCGCCCGAAGTGGACAGCGTGTGTGACGAACTGCCATGCGGATATTGCCTTGGACTATCTGCGCGCTGCCCGCGTGTCGATTCCAGCCGGGATAACCTTTGAGGATTTCGCCGACGCTGACCTCGAGCTATGTGCAGACTTGACCGATGACGAAATCATTCGTCAAGTTACAAAGGATTCCGACGACTCCGACACCGAGAACAAAGAGCCATCTCTTAAACAGCCAACGAGCTCGGATGACACTGTCGTCGGTGTACAGCGGCAATAGGACGTTGCCTGAAACTGAGGCAGACATGATCGCAGGCAAGCGGAACGCTTGGCAAAAGAAAACAGGCGATGTCTTCGCACAGTGCTGAGCTATGAGATAATGCCGGCAGGGTCTTTTTTTTTTAATAAACTATTTTTTACAGAGCCACCTAATTGATGCATTGGCTGAATTGCAATGGGAATCTTGTACTCCGGCCGTTACACTCTCTGTCAGCAAAAAATACCTACAAAAAGAGGAGCATGTTCACGTGCATTCGGTTTCCCGGACCACCAGATTTTTCGGACGTCGACTGTATAGGCCAGGGGTTTCACAAGCGAGTTCTTTGAAAGCCATTTTGAGGCGCTTCACCCCATTAAAAAGTCACTAATAGAACTGCATTTTAAAATTACCGCTCCCAATGTATATGACATCTGCACCCTGGGACTCTATGCAGCCGGATGCCCCCTTTGTACTTTGAAACATTTGAGAATAATATTCAGGAGGCCACCCAGAGACTTGAAATTTGTCAAAGCTATTACCGCTCCCAATGTATATGACATCTGCACCCTGGGACTCTATGCAGCCGGATGCCCCCTTTGTACTTTGAAACATTTGAGATTAATATTCAGGAGGCCACCCAGAGACTTGAAATTTGTCAAAGCTAACCTAAAACTCAAATATTGAGTCCCCCCCCCCCCCCCCCCCCCCCAATTGTCATCACGTAACAAAAACGAACAGCAGGGCACACAAGGAAAGGTTCTGCCCACCTTGCTGCCTTGCCGGCCATTTCCAGTGGGCTCCCTTCGAGGTGACTTGTCTTTAGCTGGTCGCTCCTCCCGACTCTTATCCCTAGGGGGCTTGTCCTCGCGAGACTGCCCACCACTGCCAGGAGAGCCGGCACCATCGTCATCCTGCGTCTGGGACCCTGGGCGTTGCCCTCGGCGGCGAGGTCGTGGGCGAAAGGGTGGTCTTCGACGTTGGCTTCCGGTTTGTCCACCACGTTCCCTCTCAGGGCCTGGTTGGGCCTCCCCTTCACTCTCCTGCAGAAGTACACTGGTTGGCTTCTACAGCGACTGGCTAATGTTTAACCCTTGCCCAAGTCTTCTGGATATACCTAACTTCTAACGCACTCGCATCCCCGCTAATAATACAGTAAACTCTCAGTAAACGGAAAATTGTTAAACGAAACTACTGCTTAAATGGAACTATTGCCTCTGCAATATTTGGTTACGGGCTTGTTCACTTCTCTGTAAACAAAACTCCTATTGAATTGAAAATATTTCCCCGGTCCCTTCAGGTTCCGTTTACTGAGAGTCTACTGTAATAGTAATAATAACAATAAAAAGTATGACATAGCCCAGCACGCCTCTGCCAATGGCTCTTTTAGCCTAACTAGAAGGCCTTCAAGCCGAGCTGAACTTATGGCCAAGACAAACATGCACAAACTTACCGACGTGAGTAATGTAGTTCGAAAGTCACATATGCTGTGTAATAAGTAGAAACGACAGATATCAAAATAGTGTACGTACCAATATGGAAGCTAAGGAACGATTTAGTCAACATGAAAGATAAGTTATCGAGCAAACATTTCCATTGCCTTCTTAGCGTTAAAATCACCAGTGAGACCGGTGATTTTAAGGAAAAAGTTAAACAGCATGAATATGACGCCAGGAAACCTGATATACCCTCACTAAACACTGGAATCGACAAGTCACCAAACTGACTTATCAAGCGTGTGTATTCTGGCCAAAGAAAAGCATGCATAATGCCTGCACCTGGAATCCCTGCCCATACACTGAACAGGAGTGATAGGATGCTTTTAAGAATGTATACTCAGTGCTTACGTCACACACTTAGGTAAACTTAAATATGCTGTCCTGTTTATGGCTATTATTGTGAACAAGGCTCCCGTAGTAGGTGTTGAAATACCCCAAAACTTTGTATTCCTTTGGTAGGTGTGTCTTTTCCTGTCTACAATAAAAGACAACAGTTACGCACCTCTCTTTCCTTTTTTTTTTTTGACATATCTTGCTGTTTATTGTAGTTACAGCGAAAAGAGCAAGTTTTTAAGCTTTGATCAATGATAATGCTTTTTTTGCGATAGTCACACAGACTGCCGTTAGTTCCATAACCAGGCCAGATTTTTCAGAAATTCCCTGGCTTTTCCAGAAGGGTCTGAATTCCCCGACTTTCTGAGGTTGGTAGACACCCTGAAAGTGATGTGGCACGTTTGTTTGATGTTTTTGGTAGCGAAAAAGGCACCTGTCTCACACTCCAGTAGTGGTAATTTACCTTTGTACCCACCACCCCCTCCCCTCCTCTGCAAGGGATCTCCCATCCCTTCCACCAGTCCACAAGGTGTTCCCGACACATCCATGGCTGAGAACCACTGTGTTAACGAACGAGATGCTGAGAGCTTTCACCAAGTGATGCTCTAGCGGTCCTTGCAGCAGACTGAGGCATGTTTGGGTTGTCGCCCTATGAAAGCATGCAGTATGGTTATAATAGCGCTACACTTGCCGTCTCGGTGCCCACGATCCACACATCCAACGCCGCAATAGAGCGGAAGTGGGAATAATTAATTGGCCGATTTTGTGCTTTTGCAGCAGCACAAGTGTACAAGATGGCGACCATTACGTAATATCAGCTCATGTGTGTGCTGTCAACATTACTTTCAGTTCCAAAAACCACCTTGTGGCGCAAATCAGACAAAAAAAAAAAAACCTTTTTGGAGCAGTATGGCGTAGTAATTTCCAGTTGGCGCAGGCTTCCCACCATTGGTATATGTTTTGATTTGGAAAGGAATTTTGCTAGTTGTTTTTATTGATCAAAACATTTTCATTCCAGCATCAGATTTGTATCACCGATGGTATACTGTAGCAGATTTAGAAAGGGTATACTTAATGACAAAATTTTAGTGCATACATAATACATGCTAACTCCTGAAAATGAGCTCTGCCACTTCCAACAAAAGCAGCGCGTTAAGTTGGGCTTCACAATGGTAACAATGATGACAGCTACATTAACATTTGCAGCACCAGTAAAAAATGCATAGCTGTCAACCTGGTGAACCGGAACTCTGGAAGATATGTAAAGTGAAGCTGTGAGACATGAGGAACTATAGACGTTTTGCAGGGCTGCCTCAATGTCATAAACAGCTCTGAAAGACTGCCAGGAATATTTCATAAGCTGGTGATCATAGCTGTAGTCGAAAATATATAGTCATATTTTGTTATAACGAACCTCATATTAACTTTTTAAACTCCCCTAGTGTCCATTGATTTATGTAAAGCTATTTTACTACTACTCATTTCAGAATACTGAATGTTTCAGAATGATGCATAGAATTTTATCACCCTTAAATCTATATGACACTTCGATATAAGGAATACAGACTTCAATTTTGATCAGCTTACAGTGCAAGGGTATTCCGAGAAATCTGACATTGACGTATTGCTCCCACTTTCTTTGACTTTATCTCTGCATTTCTCTCACTCTACATATGCTTGCTATATGCCACACAGAAAGCTACGCTATGCTGTCAGCATTCCTGGATAGCCACGTGGTCAAGATGCTTGCTTTTGCATTGTCAGTATGCAGATTTGATTCTCGCCTTCTTATGAGGGATGTTTTCTCACCAAGATTGTCTCTTTGCATATATATCTGTCTTTATACCTCTTAGTTTATTTTCATTGAGACTTCCTCTGCATCCTCATTTCTCCATTTTGTGCTTTCCCCTTGCTACATGCCGGACAAATTGGCACTAGTTGTTCTGGGAGCGAAGATGAAGTGAATGTGCCAGTTGATCATTCTGGCTCACAACATTTTATGCCTAGCTAGAATAGCTTCGCTGTACATTATTGCCTGCTGAGCCAGAGACACTCAACAGGCAAATGGTGAACACCCCAGAAAGCCGCATTTCGAGAAAAGTTGGCTATTCTAACAAACATGAGCTGGTACCAAGCCATGAAGCAGATATTTCCTAGTACATTTACAAGCAAGCTGTTGTCCTCATGATCAATTGTAATGATAATACTACACAAGGAGCCCTGTATGGGAGGCTAAAGAGCATAACATTTTTTTTGCGTAATAGAAAGTACAATTTTACAATTCCGAAAACACTACCCTTACCACGACGCGATGCTTATAAAGCACACACATATATATATATATATAAAAATGCGGGTGGCAGCAAGGCTTTCAGATTCTCGCACAAACGCCAATAAGTAAGAAATTTTTAAAGCGTCTACTAGGACCTAAGTAGCTTTAAAAAAAAAAATCTGTGGTTGCCACAGACTTAGCATATGAAGTTTCAGAAAGTTTCATCGAGCCAGTACCACAAAAATACATTTCCAAATGTCTTACATTACACAGAGATTTTGGCATGAAGTCTAATAGTGAAACTTAAACCTTCATTTTCTATAATGATGCAAGTGAAGCATACAGTCGAACCCCGCTATAACGAAACTGACGGGGCACGAAAAAAATTTCGTTGAAGCAAAAATTTCGTTGTACTGAAATCTAAAAAAATATCGCTGATCTAAGCTAGCAAAACAGAGAAACATTTATTCTCAAAATTCAAAGAATGTCCACTGCTTCCTATTCTTTCCTAGCAGTGTCGCGACGTCATTCACACCCATGCATAGTGAAGCCATGGTGAAAAGCACGCTGAAACAACGCCTAAAACCGTCTTCGTGAACGAACCAAACAGTTGCATCAACACGTTAACACCTGCAGCTGTCCGCCGTCAGAAGTATCCGACAACGCCGAGATCGAGCATGGTATCGTAGAGGGGTGACTTTTGCATTACTATATGCCATTTAACACCCATCACTCGCAGCCAGCTGATTTTGTGGGTAATGCGGAGGAACAGCCGCTCTGATTAGTTACCACAGTGGCCCGCTCTGATTAGTTACCACAGTGGCCAAGTGCGAACATAAGATAAGCATCGGAAAAGGCATCGTCTCGCAGTTGCACCCAGCAGCTGCGTGAAGGAAAGCATTAACGGAGTGACTGAGCTTCAGCTTCGGATCGTCTGCGGCTTGAAAGCAAGCCAGTGGCAAAAGCAGGGCCTGGCAGGGCAGCCTCATTGCCATCGCTATCGAGCAATGGCGGCACCTATGCTTGGTGAACAGCAGCCCTTTCTGGTGGTGCCAACGCATGTTTTAAACTTCGTTGATGCATTTTCAGGCTATGAAAATGAATTGAAATGTTAAAGATCAAGTTGACTGCATAGCACTAAGTATTCGAGCCTGGATTGCATCGTAAAATTTCGTTGAAGCGGGACGAATGAAGAAAAAGTGTTCGTTGTGGCGACAATATTTATTCATTGACCTCCTATGAACTGCTGACGGGGAATCGTGACTTTTTCGTTGTAGCAGAAATTTCGTTGAAGCGGAGTTTGACTTAGTGCAATGGGCACATTAATGGCGCATTTGTGAAGTCCGAATTTTTAGAGTCTGAAAAATCCACCGGCGACTGTAAATGCAATAGGGTGAACAGGTCAGAATGGCACACTCCATGATTTCTGTACAAAGCTCTACAATGATACATACTTATTGAACTTGTATCAAGCACACATGACATGCAGGCCTCCTTTTTCCACAAGTGCCATGCAAGAGAAAGTGGCATAGTCAGAAATAATGGCATGCATTTCGTGCAAGCACATATTCATCATGGATGCAAGTGGAGTTACAACACTAAAAACAATGTCTAGAAGATCATAATCTGAGAAACAATGGCAAGCCAAGGAGATAACAGTCTGCATTGAATTCAAGAGTTCAGACAGAAAGAATGCAAAAATGCACAAATGAGTGGCATTCAGAACACAGTATTGGAATGAAGCTTTTGATAGTAAAATAAATGCTCTGAAGTGCATGCCCAATACACACGAGCAATTCTGCGCATCTTGGGCATACCGTACAGGCATGTCTGTGGACATGCAGAGAGAACAAAAAGTGTCATAAACAGACCGTTTGGAACACTTCAGCGAAACCAGAGCATTTAAGACAACTAGCTATATACAAAAGTACTGGCACTAGAGTTCAACACTGTATAGAAACTTTTGCATATAATATGTGATGACTTTGCTCACCCATATGCAGCAAGTTCAAAAACAAAATAAGCAACAATAGCCCAATGCTGCCATAACACACATGCTCAACTGAAAGGGAAAAAGACAACCACCCGTTTGAGGCACGAAGCCACAAGAAAAATCCTTTTCACCACCTTGCGGGTTTCCGCAGAATTCATTTGCACGTTCAACTGCCCATTCATTCTGATATCAGTTGAGTTTGGTATACTCTTAATTCGTACATTGTTTTATGAAGTAATAAATTTGATTTAGTTTCTGGATTTCGATAACATTTTTGGATAATCATACACTCACCTCTAGGGTAGGACTATATTTGCAATTTTTTAAATGTTCCAGTGTACGATCAAAACGAAAAGTGCACTGCAAGTGCAGAGTAGAAAGGAAAGAGGACCATAGCACTCACTAGCCGAACAAAAGCACAGTTGCCTCCAGTTACAGCAGCCACCAGACTTATGGCCGCAATTTGATTAGTTCCAAGTCAAGTATCCATTAAATGTCCACCGCACTGAGCCAGCTGAGAGAGGTTCTAGATTGGCTCTATCCTTTTGCTTCACTTCGAGCTGTCAATTGTTTCTGTAGCTATGCCTGTCTCTCTTGTTTGCTTACTGGAAGATGTTACTCAAGGGGTAAAGATGGAACCTGCTTGAAAACTATAAGTTCACTAGCTCAGCAGTAGACATTTCGGCCAACTTCCATGCTAGTAGCATTCTTGTGGAAGTGGTAACATTTGAGGAAATTGCTAACTTCGACAGTGTTAACCTTCTACCCTGCAGAGTTGGATGATGATGATCTGTCAGGCCCTCAAGCCAGTGCAAGTGGACAGCGACTCCCAATGATGACAAGTTGCCCACACCAGAGCCATCAAATGTGGATTGGGTGTAGACTTGTGTAGTTCTACTATCGACCAACAACGATTGCAAAACGCTGGCTGAAATACAGGCCAACACGGTTGTGCAGAACCTTGCGCGAGTTCAGGCGTGCAAGGGTCTGTACGAACAAAGGTGGTTTATCCAAAAGTAATCGTTTTCTCTGGACTCCCAATTATTCACTTTTTCGCACTTCCTGCAGAGCCCAAGCAAAACGGTTGGAGACTACCACACTTTGGTGAAGCAAAGCCAGTTTTCACTAAGCAGTAGCTTGCTTTACCAATGTGGACACACACAACCATAGAGTTTCCCAAAATTAACAAGAGGGGACTCTGCCGCTGCGATCGTTCAACGACCATTTGAATGATGGGTAATACACACATTGCCTAGTCTTCGTACTTGCGGGCGGCGAATTGTACTTGCGGATTCGTTTATTGCTGTGTTTCGGTTTTGTTTTGAAAGAAAGATTCAACCCTTTTGAACTTCGTGACCCAATTTGGAAAGGTAGGTAAGTCGAAAAAGATAGGGTGGTGAAGCGCAATTGCTGAACATTGGCAGATTTTTGTTTCGCTAGAAAACAGCTTCAAGCCACACAAACACACGTGGAGCCAAAAACAAGCCAGAAGTATGAAGTTTAGACAAATGTGTGTACTACACATCATTCCCATGCTCACTGAAGCGCCAGAGTTCCCTCTAGTGTATATTAGGAAACTCTATGCACACAACCACTTAAAAAGCTGAACTACTAATGCAAGGTATTTATTTATTCCCGAGAGTTAAATACTACAGGGCTTTTCCAGGAAGGTAGCAAATTGCATTGGTAGAAAACTACCTGCTGTGCAGTAAACCATACTATTTTTGACTCTAGTTAAAAGCCCTTTGACAGCACAAAAGGGCTCCTTGTCTGACAGCCAATAACGCGAGGCTTGGCAAAAAATTACCAAGTTATTCAAAGGGCTATGAAATAATTGTGCAAGCATCAGGTAGGCATACTATAAACTTCAAATAACCTAAATTGCCACCCACTTCATGAAAAAATAGATCTTGATTCAACTGCGAGTGACAGTGTTCTGTGGTCTTTGCGAAACAGCGCATAAACAAAGACAGAAAGGAGTGTGTTTCTTTCTATCTCCTCATTCTTGCGCTGTTTTGCGAAGATGAAGCCATACCAACAAGCTCAAACCCGTACACACCCTCAAGTGTTTTGTGAATTCTTACTCACTTCCTCTATCAACATTTGGCATGGGCTTAGAATTGGGGCTGACAGGTGCAACATATTTAAACAGAAGGTTCCACCCACCCCTCATAATGAGAACTGTACTGTTTTCCACACAAAGTGCAACGCTGCGAGGCCAGCAGAACTCCTTACAACGGTTGTATTCACGGCACAGAACAATGCGGTGTTTGAGTGTTAATGCGAAATAAATTTTTATTAAAGCCAAGTAATGATGAAAACGTTTATAAGCAAATTTATGTTCTATGAATGATTAATTAGGTATGGTTCCCAGTCATTCTTCAGACAGTTACTACAAAGAGCTTCCAAAAGTGTAACATCAGAAACAAAATGGAAAACCTGCTTCAGAAGTAGCAGGTTTGCTGTTGACTCCAACTCTGGCTGCTGTCATTTTAAAATAGTGACAGCAGTTAAGCGAAACAGTGTAGATTACAGACCTCCTACCTGACTTATTGGCATCAGCAGCAGTGACCTGCCAATAAAGTATCTTGTAATGCCACAACCTTCTCATACTTATTTGGGACACCACAATATGTGGCCACAAGCATTTAAAAAAAAAAAAAAAAAAACACCAGCAGGGCCTTAATTCCGAAACGTCCCCATACAGCGGAACACTTTGAAAAAATACCAGAACTATTCCAGAGGCACACTAATGGACCATGTTCCAAAGATCCTGATCTGCACTTTACAACGGTGGCAAAGTTTCGCAAGAGAGCACACCTGGTAGCAAGTACCAAGAGGAAGGCGACGGTGTCGTGCAAAATTGCGCCAGCCCCCCGCACTTCATGCTCACCCATTTTCTTTGCAATATAAATGGTAATGTATGTCAAGCGTCATACTGGACAATTCAAACATTAACAAGAGAATGAATATGTTTGGAAGTACATGCCTGTGCATATGTACTAAGCAATGTATTGCTTTATAGGCTGGAATTCAGAAAATGATTCAGAATGTCACTAAGGCACCATTACAGATCGATTCCCAGTTTTTATCTCGAAAAACCACGCAAGCGACGACATCAGGTGCCACACTGATTGAAAGGTTCACACTACAATGTGGGAACTGTCTGCAATACTGAACTAATGAAGCTGTTGTAGGCACAAAATCTGTCAAAGAAGAGAGAGAGAAAAAGAAAAGCTCACCTAGCCACACACTATCAGTAACAACATTATAAACGGCAGACTTACTTGATATCACGAACCTATAAGCCTGGTAATCGAGCATTCGCAAGCACTGAAAGAAAACTGGAAGCTTGCATGTCTACGGCTCACATGACAACCATTTAAATACATAGTGGTGCTCTCATGCAGGTTCTCCTGCCAGCCATTGCTAGGAGGCCACATGACATTGGAAAATGGTCCATTGATGGCAAAAGCAAAGGACAAAAAGAGAGGTTGGGGCTCGAGGTGCCCTCAGCCGCACCTTCGCTTCCCCGTCGAGGCCACTTTGACTGCCTTCAGTGTCGCTGCGTGGTCGCCGCGGCCGGCGCCTGAAGTAGCGACCATAAAACTTGCGGGGCTGGGGAGGCCTCCGAGAGCCACCGTCGGCTCGGCCGCCTGAGTAGTCCCCGTCCTCGTCATCACCGCGATCCAGGTCCTAGGGAGAAGCACCCTCACTTGTGTGCCCAAGTTTTCCTGGCCCACTCACTGACTCAAGCATCGCAGTCTTTCAGAACACATTTTCTTTAGAGAGCTTCACATACTCTCCTGCACAAGATCAACCCTTTTGCAACTGTTGCATAGATGGCATGAAATTTCAAACAGTACGACCGATGACTGTTTTCATCATCAACAAAAAATGGTTGCACATGGAACCAATATTCCCCTTAGTTGTGTGTTTTAATGCAAGATGGCCCAGTTGTCTGTGCATCTCCGTGTCTTGCCTTTTTCATTGCATTGCCATCTCCGATACTGCACAAGCAATATTTTTTTATGCAAAATAAATAATGCAATCTGATTGAATAATATGGTACAGTTTTGTACAGTTCTCTCTCTCCTAAACAGTTTTGTACAGGAGAGAAAGAAAAAAAGTTTACAAAATGAGTGAAAAAGCTTTTGTGGTCATTTTGGCAGTTTTCCTTTTCTACTTGCTTTGAGCATTAAAAAGAATAGCAAAAAAAAAAAAAGCTTTAAAGGCCTCACTCAGAGCCACCATTTAAAAAGCTCCAGCAACAATAGCTCGTGGTGAGATGTCTACAGGTAATTTGATACATACATGGTTGACTTGAAGTTAAAGAATATGTAGCGAATGATACGAGAGCACAAAAGCAAGCTGGCACAACTGTTATCTGTAAGAGTTTAAATGCGGCTGATTTTAGAAGGTTCAGAATAAACAGTCTCGACCAGATTTTAAACATATAACTACGACACATTCCATGTCGATGAACAAAAGAAAGAAGGAGAGATCACAGCGCATAACAGAAAATTTAAAGCCCTTAGTTCCTTTGTCTTTGATGATCCTAATTTTGCTGGCTATACGGGGCCTTGCAGTACTTCTTGAAGTAACCATCGAATGACAACACATTACAATTTAATTGCCTCACAGACCGTTTGCTGCAGAAATCTGTTCAGTCCCTCAAGCAGAAGCGAATACAGTTAAACCTGCTAATAACAAACTTCCATATAACGAAGTTTTTCCAATCCCCGCTGTCTCTCCATGGAAGCACATGTATTTGCAACCTCTATGTAACAAAGTAAGTGCAGGAGACAATGTAAGAGCAGGAGACATCCTTGATGAAATGAATTTTTACCACGGACAATGTATAAATTTTGCCCCCGATCACATGTCATTTTTGCACAAGCATGCATCTTTTGCATTGCCTCGGCGTCAATGAAGTGTGAAGCAGCGGCGGCAATGTGCACGGCGCGGGAGCGGCCCTGGCGACACCCAGGCTAGAGAAAGCGCGCTCGTTATTGTGTGCGCGTGCGATAAGCCTTCCCCTCCTTCCAAACCATAACTACAATTGAAACCTTGTATAAGAGACATGTACAGGGAAGCAGTTTGTGTCTTTGATGAGCGGGGTACCCCTTTTCCCCATCATATTCCATTTCGTTGAAGCGAAAATTTCATTGCAGTGAAATAAAAAAAAAAAAAATAAAGCTAACTGAGCTAGCAAAACAAAGGAACGTTTATTATCAAAACTCAAAAAATGTCCGCTGCTTCCTATTCTCTCTCAACAGCGTCACGACGCGATTCTCAGCCACGCATAACGAGGCCATGGTGAAAAGCACGCTGAAACAATGCCTAAAACTGCTTTCGTGAACGAACCAAACAGTTGCATTAACACATCAATACCAGCAGCTGTCCGCAGTCAAAAGTATCTAACAACGCCGAGATGGAGGCAGGGTATCGTGGAGCGGAGACTTATGCACTATTATATGCCATTCTTATCATATATCACTTCGGCTAGCTGATTTTGCTCATAATGCGAACGAACAGCCACTCTGATTAGTTACCACAATGGCCAAGTACGAACATAATGATAAGCATTGGAATCTGAGAAGGCATTGTTCCGAGGCTGCACTCAGCAGCTGCGGGAAGGAAAGCATTAACTGAGCGACGGAGCTTCAGCTTCGGATCGTCTACTGCTGAAAAGCAAGCCAGCGGCAAAACAGAAGCAGGGCAGTCTCATTGCCATCTCTATGGACTGCTACTTACACGGTGAAGAGGGAGGCATGTTGCTGCTTAGAAATTAGTGACCAAATCACTGAGTGAAGGCTTTCAGCGGCATTTTGTGTCTTGTTGCCACTGCAGCGAGCCAGCAGTTGAGGGTCGGGCAGGTGTTGGTACACTGGCCGCAACGCTTTAACAACTTTGTTCGGCATGTTATACTCGTGTGGAGGTTGCGGCTTCCCCTTTGCCTCTGCCACACGGTGCCTGCACCAGCTGCGGGCACCGGAAAGACAGAGCTCGTGATGACGTTCCACATATGTCGATGAAACATGATGAAAGGTGCCCACCACTGCTTTCTTCAAGTCTTCGACGTCAGTGTTGCTTCGCAGTGCTAGGCCATAATAGCTGGTGAGCCTTTTGATCAAGCCCTGCGTCAGGCAATCTCTTCCGCTGAGCGTCTCTCCCTTCTTAGGCTTCCTTACAAGAGAACGAAGTGCCGTGCTCATCCACTTCTGAACATGGTTCACGCAGTCCTCCTTCGTGAGAGCAACGCCTTCTAGAAAAACTATGCCTGGAACGGCGCTCTCTTTTCAATTGGGAGCCTCCTGCCAGCACGCAATCTCGGAGGCCATCCCTCCTGCCTTGTGTTGCGACCGGCCGCCGCGTGAGACCACTCGCCTCCGTACCCCTCAGTCACGTTGACATAACCGTATCGTTCTGTCACATGACATCACGGCTGCTCGGAGGCAACTGTGAGAACATTGTGAAAGTGTTGCTGTATTCGCGAGGGGCGGCCGTCAAAGACGCTCGCCTCCGAACCGGGAGGCAAACCGAAACCGAAGATCAGAGGGTAGGGCAGCGCGTCCGCGACTCACGTTCCAGGCATAGTTTTTTAGGAGGCGTTGGTGAGAGGTAAAAACCCATACATCCCCTCATTGCGCAGGACCATGGCTGCTTCGCGGGACTTTTGTCCGCTGTCCCTTTTAGCGGATGCCGCGTTACACACGGAGGCCATTGCCTCTGTTGACGGGAACCCTTCTGCACCCGTCCGCGTCGGCACCCCCTATTGCGGTGACGACACGAGGCCCCTAGCCGCTCCCTTTGGAGATGGCGCGTCGCTTTGCACAAGGAGGCAACCGCCTCTATCGACGGGCGCCCTTCGGCGCTCGCCTGTGTCGTCACCCCTTTTTTGTGGTGAATACACTCCTACGTGGTAGCTGACGCGCTATCTCGTGCCCCCTGTTGTCTGCCGAGAACCTGGATTTCGGTGCGACGGCCGCTCGCGGTGCCTTAGCACATGCAAGTGTCGGGGGCGAAACAGCGGCGGAAAGGGGGAGTCCCCATGAGGACGACCTTGGCTGCTATCCAGGTAAGCGGCGCACAGCGTAGCGGCCGAGCGGGGGAACTTTCCGAAGGCCGCCGTGCCGAGAGCGAACCCGTGACACCGTGCACGCTGCGGTTGCTGCGGTCCTGAGTGGGCGCGATACCAGACTCCCCCATTTGGGAGAATGGGAATTGCTTTCGGCAGCGAAGAGCTACTGAAGGCTCAGCAGAGTGATCCGTTTCGAGTCTCGGAGGTACGGAGCGCCGTATACGCTGCTTGCCTTGCGGCGGGCGCCGTTAAACCGTCTTGAGAGGCGCGGAGCGCCGTTGCGCTGCTTGTTCTGCAGCGGGCGCGATTAGGGGGCTGAAACAGCGTGTGTCGCTGAGTCCCCGGCGGATTCATTTTGCTGGACCATGACGGGCTCCTGCTGAACTATATAGCCACTGACGACGAGTCCAGCGACCCGTTTAAGGTGGTTATGCCCAAAAGTCTGAGAGCCGCACTGTTGCGATCCTCTCACGACGAATCCATAGCCGGTCACCTGGGTGGCTCGAAAGTTTTTGCAAACTGAGCGATGTTGTGACCTGGCCCGGCACGAAGCGTGGTTTTTATCGCTATTCCGTGCCTGCCACGTCTGACAAACGGTTGAGCCAAGGGTTGGAAAGCCGCCCGGTCTTATGAACCGATTGTCAGTGAGCGTCCGTGGCGCGTACTAGCTGAAAGATCCCCTTTGGGAAAACTCAGCCGTGCCCACATCGCAGACCTGAAGCCCTTTGTCACGGCCTGACGAGCTCGCGCCAGTGCCCTGCGGCACTTCGCGCAAGCAACGGGCACACCCGGAGCGGCGGACCGCATTCGGACCTCGCGCCGGTATAATCTGAGGAAGCGGTCACCTTTGTGATTTCGCGCCAAACGGCGGACTTCTCCGCAACCGAAGGCCCTCAGTTTACTGTCTAGCCTCAGTATAGGTTAGCTTCTTTACGGCCTTTTCTCGTAAAGAAGTTGACCCCGCCGTGCCTGCTGCCAGTGTTTCTTTTTTTTTTTTTTGAAGTGTTCATGTGTATTTTATGTTTCTTTTTGTCTAATATTAAGTGTTATTTGTGTTTTATGTTTTTCGCCAGATGTTGAGTGTCGTTTTGCTCTGGTTTTACTTTTTTTTTCGTGTTCGTTTCGTCTACCGCGAAGGGAGCTGTGTGTGACCTTGTGTGTCGGTGCTTGCCAGGAGAGAGACGAAGGACGCTTTGCGCCTACGCTCGCGCAGCTTTCGGCGGTGTGTGTGCGTGCTTCTGTGCGTGTGTAAGTGCGTGACGCTTCAGTGCGAGCCCGCGAAGAGTGCGTCATGGCTCCCCTCCATCGACGCGGACACTGGAGGTGCTGGGGGGGCATTGACCCACTGACGTCAGACCATCTGGCTGTGCTCTGCTCTCGGCTGTCGCTGAAGAAGCCGTGCTGCCTTCCCCACCATGGCTCCTGCACGAGGCCAGCTGAAAGCAGCTATACGCTGCCGGCCAACGCCAGGGCGCCTCGCAGCCAATTTTGGTTCGGCCTCCCCGACCACCGGAGAGGCCCGGCTTCCCGCAACGTCCAGCTCCGTCATCGAGCCAGATATGCGGGGCCTCCGAACAACCGAAGCGGCTTTCATCGGACTCGCGGCTGATCA